AGAGAGACAGATATTAAATGGCACCAGGGAGCGGTAAGCCCTGTGACATACAGGTGGGGGTGGGTGACAGGGTGATGTGGAAGAACATGGCCTGAGCTCAGGTAGGGGGAATGAGCTTGGAAAAGGTCTGACTAGATGAGAGCCAAGGGATGGGCAGGAATGGGTCAGGCAAAGGGACAGGAGTGGAGGGGAGCAGTGAGGCAGGAGGTGGAGTGTCATATATTGAAGAAACTATGTGAAGTCCCCTCTGGCAGGTAGGTGCATGTGGTGTGAGAACAGAGGGGGTGGGCAGGGGAGTGAGCCGGATCAGGCAATGGTACACAAAGGACTTTATCTTGCGAGCAATGAGGAACCACTGATAGTTTTTCAGAAAGTGGGAATAGCACATTTTTTTGTTTGGAAGAATCCTCCCTGAATGCCTGATGGGGGACTCGTGGATGGTGGAATGTGTTGGCTGCAGCCATAACTAGGGCTGACTAGGGGTAGATTTGACATTCAGGGAAGCCCAGGGCCCCTTCTGCCACCCATGTCATTGCCAATCCCTGTGCAGATCCAGATAGTGGGATTTCAGAGCTGTTCCTGCTTATAAAATACTATACCCCACTGCCCCGCCCTCTGTTGAACATCTAACGTGTTATTAGAGACTGGTTCCTGGGTCAGTTCTTTCTTTCCTGGTTAAAGGCAAACATCGCTTAGAGAGTGACCTCAGTTGGCCATCATGGTGTGTTGACCTAATTGGCCAAGAAGCCTGGTCTCCCTCCCTTCCCATTTCCCAGCCTCAGTTACCCCATCTACTCAACAGGCCAGAGGAGTCAGAGGAAAGCCTGCAGGGACTTGCCCCTCTGGGATTCTGCTTCGGATCAGAAGACCCAGTAATCTGCATGTCTGGAACTCACCTTGTAGGTTCCTGTGCCAGGTTTGTCCAGGACCTTGCGAACGGTCATCTGTGTCCAAGAAGTTTAGGGGACCTGAGACTTGACACCTCTCACTGCCTTGTCTGCCAGGAGGTGCTCTCTGCCTCGGTTTGCCCAGCTGTAACTAGTGTTTTGGTGCCTTGGCCAGGCCTGTGCTTGGCTTCCGGCAGGCTCCACAGTGCTACCCTTTTCCTCTTTGGTTTGGGAGCTGGAAGGCTTTTTCGCTCATGAGGCTGCTCTGGGCTGAGTGCGCTGGGCTGGGGTTCTGGGTGGGGCCGGCATCAGACCCTTAGGGCCCATGTTTTTGGGTGATTCTTGGCAGGGATTTGACCTCTTGGGTTCTTAGCTTTCTCTTTTCAGCCCGATGGAAGGTCCTGTGTTCTGCAGTAGAGCTAGAGCCTAGGGCTGGATGAACTCCAAGGCCCCCTCAAGCCCGTGATGTTCACAATGGCCTCTCGGAAAGCAGCCCTGAGACTCCAGCCTCCAGACTCAGGTTAGTGCACTTGGCTCTCTGTTGTCCCCCTGGCTTTCCTGTGTCTGGACACAGGACTCTTGTTTCTGTCTGCTGTCATCCTGCATGTGGAAAGCCACGTCCACTCTTCCTCTGCTCCTTACAAAATAACACCCAGACTTGAAAGCCGAGCTATGCCATGACACCTGTTTAGTTTGTAATTCTTCTTTCCACCATTTTTTATGGGTGCATTATAGTTGTACATACGATGGGATTTCTTGTTCCATATTCATACACGCACACAATATAACAATATTATATGGCCAGTATCACTCCCCAGCACTTCTCCCTCCCTCCTCTTCTCTCATCCCCTGGACACTTTACTTTAAAAGTCAAAAGAACCTGGGGTTTGGTGTCAGTTGTACAAGGGTTTAAGCCTTGGGTCTATCTTCCTGCCATCTTCCCTCCCCATCCCCAAATGCCCAGTCTTGCTGCCCAGAGAGGCGGATCTTGGGCCAGCCCCCAGCCTCCTCATTTTCTTCAGCTCTGAGCAAGCTTCTTTTTTACTGCTTGTTCTTCTTACTCAAATGGTCTGGGGCCAACTTAACTGTGGCCCCTATGTGGCTTTTGGACAAATGTTTCAGATGTTAAACCAAAAGGAAAACATGAGAAATGCAGATGTTTTGCTCTTGGAGAGATTTCTTCATGTTAAGCCACTTGTAATCCTTGATTTCTCCCAAGCTCTTTAGCACTCAGGAGAGAAAAGCTCGGATTTTTGGGGTTTACATCCTAGCTCCATCTCGAGCCATCTATGTGACCCTGGAACACATTGTCTCCTGTCCCACAGCAATGATATCATCATCTGAAAAATGGGTAAACCCACATCTACCTCATGGGACTGTTGTAGTTAAAAGAAGCAATGGCTTTGCAGTAATTACTGTCAAGACTCCTGGGAGACTTCAGTCCTGAGGGCTGGAGGACTGTGGGTGGGGCTTCTGTGAAGTGTGGAGCCACCCAGGCTTCCTCTGCTGGGATCTCTGAACACCTTGCTCCCACCAGCCTCCAACCTCACCATCCCTCTCCCCAGGGCCCCAAGCTTGGTGGAGTGAGTCCTTTGGACCTATGTTCCACTTCAGGTCAGCCCCAGGTTCCCTGCCCAGCCTGTCCTAGATCAAATGTAAATTCTGAGAGGACAGAGAAAATGAGAAGAAGCAAAGGGAACTACTGACTTAACTGCTCTGTGTTTAGGTTCACTCATCTGTAGTTTGTGTGTGTGAGAGAGAGGAGAAATGCATCAGTGCAAGCCAAGTGTTTAGAGAAATAGCTGGTGCAAAGTAATTGCTCAATAACTGTTAGCTGTTATTTATTTATTTGGAACTTAATATAAATTCACTTCCATACTAAGAGGACACAGAGTTGAAAAGACCCAATGGCTGCCGCAGTCCAGGGATGGAGAAGATGTATAAATACACGATGGTAATACACTGTGTGTTAGAGATAATGGTGAGAAATTGGAAACAGTAATTCTTACCAACAGTAGGACATTAGCTCTGCAACATTTAGACAGAGGAATATTTTGCATATTTAATGAGAAAACAAGCCTATGTGGAAAGATGTTCATACTATAGAATGTTTATAGAATACTTCTTTTAATATATTTAGGAGAAAGAGATGGTTATGACTGGTAGAGAATGATTTCATAGAGATTAAATAATGAGAACAAACTTGGACAAATCAAACTGTTAATGGTTATTGCTGGGTGGGAAATTTGTGCACATCTTTTTTTCCTCTAACACTCCTTCTGAACACTTTTCTGTAGTCATCCTGTATAACTAGTAGCAAAAGTGAGAAGTTTCTTAACATGAGAAGGAAATACTGCAACGTCTCCAGTCTAGAGGGAAGACGTGTCTGTCTGTGGAATAAACGAAGGCTGAGATGAGAGAAGATGGATGTGAAAAATTCATAAAATTTTTTAAAAAAGATATTCACAACTGAAAGGAAAAATCCTCATCAAAGAGGAAATGAACATAATGGGAAAAAAACATTAAGTAGAAAGCATAATTGGGAAAAATTTCCTGTCCTGTGCATTTTAGACTGACTACTTATAATGAGGGGAATTTGATAGCAATGCTGACGGTTGACACATGAGAGAACGGATGGATACCCTTTCATCTGGTTAATTGAACAACCTTCAAGCAGTGAAAGAAATGAGCCTGGAAACAATTGCTAGGTATTATATTACAGTTAAAAAACAAAAAGGAAATCATAAAGTCACAGTAAAAGGAGAAATCACAAAATCCAAGGCCAGGGAGGCTGTGGCAGTACCTCAGGTCCACAGCTGGGGTGTGTTCTGATCGCTGTATGCTTGTGCTTTACTGACGGCTAATATTTTGAATATCACATCTGGAAATATGTGTGCGCATTCAGTTGCTGTATGTAAATTGAGCCTCATCTTTTAGAGAGAAAACTGGCAGTAGGTAAGAAGAGCTATAATATTACTTACATCATTTGTCTTCACTGTCATACTCTTGAAAAATATACTAATAATGATATTAAAAGAAAAAAATAGGGAGATTTGTTCAAAGGTGCTCATAATAGTGTTGTTTATATGAGCAAAATATTGAAAATGATTCAACCCCTCCTAGGGGTTGGGCGTATTCCCACGTGTCCGGGTGCTGTTTGCAAAGCCCTGTTCACATATGAACTCTCATGCAGACTTCACCGGTCCTCCAGGTGGATGCATATTATCATTCTGACTTTATATAGATGGACTTACGGGACTTGACTGGGGTCACTCAATTCATTGTCTACTCTACCCCTTCTTCAGAATCACAGTCCATAGCTTGTCCCAGGGTCCTCGCTGCACCTTTACCATCTCATATCAGTGTGATTATCATGTTTTACTCCTGAGAGTGCGAGTTTCACCAGGTGAAGAACCTTGTTTTATGTGGAATCTCAGGCACCTGTAATCCACAGAAGGCACGAGCTAAACATCTTTTGGATGAATAAGTGAATGATGCTCAATGTGACCATCACACCCAGGTCAGCTGACAGGCGCACGGAGGACTACATTAACACATGGAAAGGAGAGTGCAAAGGGGAGGACATGGGGTC